CGAAATTATTTGCAACCATCCGAATCGTTGCAAACTAGGCTCGAGGCTATTGGTTCATTTTGCAAAGAAGTAGTAGTTATGGTGCCTTGCGAAGAACTATAGTTTGTGCTGTTATACTTCGTAATTCTTTGTAATTAGTTTGTTAAGTTAGAAAGGAAATTGTTGACAATACGAGGCTATTATTTGCAAGCATTTTGCTGGGCGCAGCAGGGCAGCATCCACGGACCTTATTTCTCGCTTCATATTCTTTCATTTTAGAGAAACATTGTCTCTCATAAAACCTTCTGAAGCGGTCGCATTGCGCTTCCTTTTGACAACATTGTATATTCTTTACTATTAATATTGATTGCAGAAAAAGAAATTATTCTCTCAAAATTGCTTTGACAAACAAAGCCGTACGTCATCATGGTCTGCTCGTAGAGTACTGTTTATTTTTGCCCCCCTCTTTCTCGCGGATGCAGCGCAGTTGCGAGCATATTGTTCCCCTCGTCGCAGATTATTTTTTTCATATTTTCGCGCGCGGCGGTAATGAGCGGAGGAAAACGCGCGAAAAAAGTGAGACGAGCGTTGACCCACCTGCCGGGCCGCGCGCATATTGCTATCCGCAAACGGGAAATGGCCGAGTTCCTTTATTACATTTTTTTTCAACCCGGCCACGACCCGTCGTGCTCCGCGACGCCACGCCACCCTTTTCAACCCCCTTCCCTAACCATTGCCGTGCCTTTAAAAAAAAAAAGAAAGAAAAATGCCCACCGGCGTCGTTGCCATCAGCGCTGATGAGAAAGTGCGAACTGGGTGGGTGTGAGTTTCTGTGTGTGACAGAGAGAGAGGGAGTTTTGAAACAGATTGTCTCGGGGTTGTCGACCGCGTGGAATAGGCATACAAATTCCAGCAGAAGGCCTACTGCCGCTACACGACGTCATACACAGTTCCGTCCTCGGTGTTGATCTTTCAGGCGGAGTCTTAATCCCGGCCAGAAAGGCCGCCGCCATGTGCACGACCCTGTCCTTTCCTTATGTGCTTCTGTGTGCGTCGTCTGGATCCTCTCACTCCGTGTTCTTCTGTACACTCTTGCCCTGGTACACCGACGTTGTCCCCCCTCCCCTCTCCATCTCTCTCTCTCTCTCTCTCTCTCTCTCTCTCTGCCCCTCCCCCCCACTCTTCCACCCTTGCATCCTCTGGTGCAGCTCTTCCTGTTCCCGCCCCTCTGTCGCCGTTCCCCAGCGGGTCCTTGATTAAAAATGCCTAGGCCTTGCGACACCTTATTCGCTGGGAAATGAGAGCACTATTTTACACTGTATCGTGCGGAGCATGCCCCGCTGTCCATGTTATTGCTGCCCTTGGTGCACAGCCGCCGCGCCGGGCCGCCACTGATCTGGACGGGTTTTGGTTTACTGGAAAACCAAAGTGTCGCCCCCCCTTCCTAAATCCCCCCCACCCCTAAAAAAAGTGATGATAAAAAAACTAAAAGGTGCTGTGAAGTTTGTGAAGGCACTTTTGTGGACACTTCAGAGATGCTTAAAAGAACAGCAAAATTCTTTCTTTTGGCACCCTTTGTCGCCCTTTGTAAGGTTACAACAGGTACTGATAACCATACTACTCTTACCCTTGCTCCCTGCTGTAGGTTAGGGATCGAGACAAGGTCGTCCTAATCAAACCGAAGCAAGCAAATGCCTTACTTCGTTTTCTTAAGCCCAACTACTTGTATACACCAATTATATGCGTTTCGCGAGGACAAATGTACATGCTCTGTTTGAGATTTAATAAGGCCGCCCTCTCTCTCTGCGTCGTACAGCAGCTAGCGAGCTGCCTCATCACGAGGCGAGGGCGCCCCGCCACGCCACGCCACGCCCCGCCACGCCACGCCACGCCACGCCACGCCACGCCACGCCACGCTACGCCATCATCCATCCGGCCTCCGCCCGCGCGCGCGACGCTTCGACCCGACCGGGGCTCGTCAATTTTCGGAATCACATTACACGTTTCACGCCAACAAAAGATCCTCCGAGAGAAGGCCGCTGCTCCTCCGACTTCCCCCC